TAGTTGTGTGTGTGTGTGTGTGTGTGTGTGTGTGTGTGTGTGTGTGTGTGTGTGTGTGTGTGTGTGTGTTTGAAAATATGTGCACATTGTGTGTGCATCAGCCATGATTGCATGGCCAGACACAGTAACTGCATGCACGTGTCATCAGTTAGCAGTCTGAAAAGTCATTTGCACGTATAATTATTTGAGCATGCAAACACAATTGTGCATGAATTTTTTTAAAGATATGGGCCATAATTTTGTTTGTTGCTAATAATATACCATGATATACTGTGATCCTGTCGGCTTTCACAAAATAAGCAATGCTGAGTTGGTATTTTGATGTGCACCTTTTAAAAAAATACCCAAACAACCAGGTACTGCCAGTAGAGGTATTGTTGATATACGAGGTGGCACTCTTTCTTCTGAATCCGTACAGAAGAAATACCCTGAGGCATTGGACAGTTTTTCTCTTGGATGAGATGTAAAAATAAAGTCCTAAACACGGTACGATGGCACTAGCTGAAAGTGGTTAGGAGTATTTAACCCTGGTGTCCTGGCCACATTTCAAAATGTCTCATTTTAATCTGCCTAATTAAACTCCTCAAGTAGCTTCAATTAAATAAACTATCCTTCGCTGCCAGACCTAAGCTACAGTCTTCCCATTACTGTAGCTATTATTTTGCCAGAAGCCAGTGACATAAAACACATGGCTGAAGCTCAGGTTCTGTAATGTCACAAGAACTGTGACAAATTCCCAGCTCTGTATATGCAGTCTGGAATTATCTAATGGTTAATATAAAACTTTGGGTCAGTTTCATCCCTCAGATGTGTCCCATTTGAGAGCCAATGAGATGCTAATAGAAATCAAAGGGCAGAATTTGGCCATTACTGTTGCTATTCACTGCAAGGTTTCACTCTCCAGGGTTTTTGCCGCCCCACGCGGCGCAAAAAAAAAAAAAAGACCGCGATCGCGATCGGCGGCGGCAATTCGGCGGGAGGTCCTTGGCTCCGAGCGGGAGTGAGGGACCGTCCGCCGAATTGCCGCCGAATAGTTGGAGTGGCCCTCTCCGGAGTGGCCGCCCCAAGCACCTGCTTGGCAAGCTGGTGCCTGGAACCGGCCCTGTCCACTAGTAACTGGATCGAGACCCACTAAACATTTTACATAGGCCACTAAAACGTCTACTTTCTATTGAAAAAGCTGGCAAGACCGTGAGTGCGTGAATGATACTGAAACCTTCAAGCAGAGCTTTTTCTTTTAAAATCCAGCAGAGTGAATCCTTTGTGTATTATTTATAATCAGTACAGGCCTTCTTTTATGTACTATAGTACAAACACTTTGTCTTCTTATTGTTCAGCATTGGTGTTACAGCTGAATGATGAGACTGCAAACGTAAATACTTTGCCTATTCAGCTGTGTTAAATCCCATGTCATGTTCTCTGTACAGTACATCCTGTGTTCCTTCTCCAGTGAGGGCCTTTTAAACCACAGGTACAAACAATGTATTTTGAGGGTTGGGGGTTTGGGGAGGGAGTTGCTTGTCAACAGAAGATAATCTAACAGCAAATATACTCTGAGATGAAGCAGAAGCAGAAGCGCTTTTATTTTTTTCCCCAGGTAAAGCTTTTTCTGCAGATTTTAGAGACATGCAGGAACAATATGTTCTGCGGATTCAGGACTCAAAAGAATTGATACTGCAGGTAAAGGAAAATGAACAAATATCTGGATGACCGACCTTGTCAAATGCTTGCTTGATGCATGTACCTCCATTTCATTACTTTTGTATTCATTTAGCTCTTTACGAATTGCTGCCTAGGAATTGAAAATGGAAGCAAGGTTAAAAAAATCATTTTGGATTTGTAAACATTTTTAATAGCAAATAAGAGCCCTGAAAAATAATCAAAACAGCAAATTCCATGTAAAGAGTGTGGTAGGCTACACACAAAGGACATGTGGTCAGCAAATATTGAGGCGAGCCAATATTCAGCTTCTCTCCATGCATACTGGTCACTGTCTTTTAAAGACATTGACATAAATACTATCATCAAAACCATTATTGCAAAGGATTACTCCACATCATCCGTCATCACTGACTAGCTGATCCTAAGACCCGTTTATAGAAGCAGTCCTTAGAGGAACATAAAATCATAATGCTCACTCCCCAACACTTAATGACACTCTGGTTAAATTAGTGAGCAGAAGTTCCTCATCCAGCAACTGGACAGTTGAAATGTGGAGAATTTCAGTACTGAACCATTTCAAAATAAAAATCAGACTGCATTGTTACAATATGCAAATAATGGATCAGATGATATAGTCATTTACATGTGTGGTGTTGCACAATCATATATGAGGGGGGAAATTTCCGTCTTGGTACATTACACACCATAAAATCCAAAACAGCTGTATATCGATTTGTTCCCTTTCCCCAAATGACTACTCAACATCCCCAGTTGTTCTCCCAACCTCCTTAGCCAAAACTTTAAAACTTCTTATTCAGCAACCATTGTAGCCTGATTCATTGTAAGCCATTTCCTTACTACCCAGTAGGGTGACCGGACAAGCAAGTATGAAAAATCGGGACAGAGTGTGGAGGGTAATAGGTGCCCATATAAGAAAAAGCCCCGAATATCGGGACTGTCCCTATAAAATCGGGACATCTGGTCACCCTACTACCCAGCCACTTAAGTATGAAGTCTAGGATCATTTAATACTGTAAATCAAATATATGAGAGAAACAAGGTGGGTGAGGTAATATCTTTTATTGGCCCAACTTCTGTTGGTGGAAAGGACAAGCTCTGTGAAGCTCAAAAGCTTGTCCCTTCCACCAACAGAAGTTGGACCAATAAAAGATATTACCGCACCCACTTTTTCTCTCGTATCCTGGGACCAACAGGGCCACAACAACACGCCAAAAAAAAATCAAATATATGGTAAGCATATAATAAAGTGAAAATGTGTGTACTCTAGATTGGCCACTCTCATGGCTAGTGAAAAAGTGCTTTCCATGGGAGTTCATCAGTTGAGAATAAAGTAGTGATGTGTACATGTTTGTAACAAAGATTTTGTACTGAGTAACTTTGGGGTAAAGTTTGGTCCTAGATTTCTCAGACACTACAGTAATGGGTGGCAAAGATCTATGATAGATTGTGTAGTATACTGCCCTCCATACTTTTTCTAATAACTGTTGTTAGTAAAACCACCGTTTACATGACCTGAGGTACTGCTTACAAGCAAAGCAAACAGACAGTAGTCTTAATTATATTTGTAAGTATGTCTGTACCTTATCAGCTGCTGATAGTCTTGTCCAGGGTTTGTCTGCTCGTCTGTCGTAGTCCTGTGCTTTTGCCACCTCAACATAATCGCTGAATCGAATTAAAATTTTTCTGTCTCTTAGTTCATCGACTGTAGGTCTCTGATTGAGCTGTATTAATAAGTTTTGTAAAGAAGTATATCAATGTGACTAGGAAGTAAAATTGAGACATACATTCAACAGCACAAAAATGGAATCACATGCATTTTTATTCCCCATCTTCATTTTGTGTATTGTCTATTTATGTATACAAAATATACATCTATTTAAACTGAAAAGATTTGAAATTGATTAATTCGTCTTAAATGCACAGGAACACTGAGATCTAGAGCCAGATTCTGATCTTATTTACATGGGTAACGCCATCATTCCAGATTCACACTGTTATAATTGGGTTCAGAATCTGTCCTGCAGTCAGTGAGTGAAACTTATCTATGATTAGAAACATTAGGATAGTTTTTGTAAAGGAAAATTATTAATTTTAATACTGTGCTATCTTTAGTCTTTCTACAAAGGCATTTTTCTATTAACTAGACTTCGCTCTCCATGTGCCTTTATCTCAAAGAGCTATTGAAACACTTCTGAGTATTATTGTTAAACAGTAATAATGGGGTAAATGGAGCCGAGGGCTATTGTACAGTGGCTTTATAATGGAACATTTTGTCACACACAGCTTTATAAAGCTGAAGTTGCAATATATTTCAAGTAACCACAATGAATTACAATGTAGGGCTCAATCTTGTAAAATTCCCATAACTTTGTCTGAATAAGGGCTTCAGGATTGGGCCCAGTGTAAGAACTACAGACCCAAGGCTTAGCAAACTGTCATCACAATGTGCCTTTGAATATTGCACTGTGTTACCACTGACTCCCGTGGGGACTTCTGCAAACAGAGCAATGACAGGATCAGGCCTAGAAGCTGATAGACCTTCAAATGAAAAGGTCTGCAAACAGAAATTTCAGGCAGGAACGCACCTGCTGCTCAGCAAGGAGGCAGCTTACTCTGGGATTCTCACTGCTACGAACAGTGGAAAGGAACTGCTTTCCTAGCAATTTAGTTGCAAAATCTGCAGGATGAGGCAAATGATCGCAAATTAGCTGATTTTTAGGTTCTTGTGTAAATTTTCCATTAGCCTCTCAAATACAGTGAGCGCCATTTTAAAAGCCAACATTTGTGGATAATTACCTGAGATATTGTAGTTATTTTCTATTCTAGTTATTAAACACTACTCTCATATATCATTGTATATACATGTTGACTTTTGAATGGTGACCACCACAGCTGTTTGTCTTTAAAATGATTTAAAACATTTAGATACTGTTTTTACTCTGGGCTCTTTGTTATTAGTTTGCACTCAGCTTTTTAAATGTCACTGAAAACATTTCAAGATTTTACCTTTCTCGTCAGCCTCTGCTTGATTTCCCTTCTTTCTTCCTGCTCTGTTTGATCATTTCTTTCTGCAGAAAATATAAAAAAAGAGATGACTTTCCTCATGTAGGAAGATCAGCTGTTTCCAATACATCCAGGCAATAAAAGTTACAATATGGAGAAGCGTGGTGCTGTTCCTTAGTCCTTCTGAATTGCTAGCTCAGTCCTTACTATGCCTGCTTGGTGCATTGCCAGAATATACAGCTATCTTTCAATGAGGACACAGAAGCACGTATGCCAATGTCAGCTTTTCCTGTGACATAACCTCCAGTTACAATGAGCTTTAATAAACATAAAGCAGCCAGTCCAATTCTTCAGCTAGATAAACTTTTAGAGGGAAAAGCAATACCTTTAAAATTATGAATGATTGTTTGTTATGCCATGTCTTTGTTAGAGTCCTGCCACACTTGCATTAAGATGCTGAAACATTTTCCTGTACATACTTCAGGGAAAGCATGTACCTCGTGAGCTTATGCTCTCAGGCTTCATATTTAGTTGGTCACGTTGCTACGCTATTCATCCTTGACTTACACACTATCCCTTTCCCTCTACTACTCAAGATATGCCAATTGTATTAGAGCCTCTTTATACTCACAGGTTTTCTTTTGTGGTATTCTGTTCTAACCCAATCCAGTTCGCTTTTGTGTGTTCTATTAACATTCAAGCCGTGATAACGCCTACACACTGGATCTAAAAATAGACTCGAGTCCTGTACCATTGTGTGAAATATAGTCTTTGCCTTAGGATACTACTTAATGGATTTTCTATTTCTAGTGCAATCTGTTACTAAATTTAGACTCAAGTCCATGGCCTAAATGCTAGAGACCTAGGGAAAAGATGTTTAACCATTCAGTGAGCCTAGAGATCAGTGGTTTTCAACCTTTTTTCATTTGCTAAAAAAATTTGTATGGAGATGCAGACCCCTTTGGAAATCTTACACATAGTCTGCAGCCCCCAGGGGTCCATGGACCACAGGTTGAAAACCACTGCTATAGATAGCAGTGTTATAATAGTCTCTTAGTTAAGCAAAAGCCATATTCTGTTAAATGTTGTCAGAGTTAAACTATTGTGTCTTAAAAGGCTAGTTTTGGAAATGAGCCTTTTCTTGCCCCTCCCCTTTTTCTGTATTCTTTAGATTACATTGAAATACAGACACATGAATCTATTTAAAGAAGTATTGTAGCAACATATCTGCAACTAGGTAAACAGAAAATGTAAATCAGAGAACCTAAAATCACACAGTACACTATAGGGGTGGTGTATATGACTTTGAAGTAGAGTACATGAGACTGATATGGCAGTGTTTCAGAAGTGTCAGTGAGATGACCAAAGATTTAGATGGCAATTGTCTGCAGTATCTGAGGAGGAAATATGAAAAAATGGGGAAATATAGCTTTAAAAAAATTGAACATACTATGTAATGGCAAGATGCCCCCAGGAAGTAACTAGCATGCCTAGTTCAATATTTATTAACCCCTTTTTGACTAGACCTTATGGTTGTATTTTCACTTAAAAAAAAAGCTGTTCTCCATCAATTTAAATGTCCATCGGAATATAGTCATGATGCATTCTACATGGGCACTGGATGGTTTTCTAAGATGGAAACACGAATATGCCTATCCGGTCTGAAGATTGTTTTTTGTCGTTTTGAAATGCTAAGCACACATCATGGTCTGTCTAGGTTGGACATTAGGAAAAAGTTCCTAACTGTCAGGGTGGTTAAACACTGGAAT